AAAATCACTTACATTTAGGTCTCATCCCAAATGCTTTTCTTCTAATGTTAGGGAGGAAATGTCTGTTTAGAACCAAACGGTCTGCAAGCAATCAGATGTTGCATCAGTGATTATCAGTCTGTTCTCCCACCAGTTTTTAGCTGTAGCAATGCACTGTCCTAATTTGCTCAAGATTTCAATGTCATCTTGAAATCTGGCAGATATTGAGCAAACGTGGCTATCACTTGGTTCACAGTTTTCAACACCTATCGCTTCATATACATATCTCTCTTGGAAGCTTTATGTAGATCAGTCAACTTGCGTTGCATTTTTAATAGGTTGTATGCAACAACATGATATAACCTGATCCAGAAACAGATTAAATGTTCTTAAACTGAGGGTGAGTAAAATAAAGTTTCATCCACTTCTGGATCAGATTTTATTCCTAATGGTGTACTTATATTTAAAGACAAAGATTTTATTATTCTCCCAGTAGTTTTATTTCAAGGATACAGCTCTCTGCATTTACCGTTGCTGTATTGAGAGCGGCCATAATAGCTCTAAAAATATTTAATTAAGGAGAGGTTTCAAAAAGCAGACTGCAATTTCTGGATTACTTTAGATTTTATGCTGTCTCTACAGAACAGACTTGCATGAAAGCACTAGTTCTTCAGTCTCAGTTTCCTTGACACAGCTCCACTCACGCAGGTTTACTCCTAACTTACACCAACGTAAGTGGTTACCTCTGCTGTTAACTTAATCAGGTCCAGCACAAAGGTTTAGTACTGTGACACTACCTCTATGGTGTTCATTTCTTAGCTCTTCCCTTGATTCAAATCTGTCTTATGCCAGATTAGTGCTATTCCAGAGGCTGCAGGACTTAAATGCAATAAAAAATTCTGTCCTCACTTTAAGGGTAGTATGAACAAATATTTAAGTGTTATTCATGCTCTTGCTCTTTTATTTTTCTTTGTTCATGCAAATATCATGTATTGTAACTATTCCTTGTAAAGGTGTTGCCAAGAGTGTGCTTAATAGACTTCAAGATTAGTTTACATTATTATTAGAGCAAGGTATTTTGATTACGAGTGTGTGTCCATTATATTCCGTATTTTATACTGATGTCCATTCTAATAACACTCTTAGATTTGTTGTTAGTGGTAATTTCTCCATTGTAAAACTCAAAGCATTTAGGAGGGGGGTTCTTCATTAGGGAAGAGTTTCAAAATACTTTGGGTAACTACAGCATATGGAGATCTAAGAGCTATTGCACTTAAAGCTGACTTCACTGCATTGGCATCACTCCTGTTGACTTCCTTTGCATCAAAATTTTGCCCAGGAATTCTCTTGCTGTGAGTGTCTTACTGGAAACCAATTTGCCGCTGTGGTTTAAGGCTGGGCACAAACTGAGGCACAGGAAGTTCCGTCTGAACATGAGGAAGAACTTCTTCCCTCTGAGGGTGACGGAGCACTGGAACAGGCTGCCCAGGGAGGTTGTGGAATCTCCTTCTCTGGAGATATTCAAACCCCGCCTGGACACGGTCCTGCGCAGCCTGCTGTAGGTGACCCTGCTTCGGCGGGGGGGGGATCTGTTGATATGGGTTCTCTATAACTATGTGCTACAGAGTTGTAAGGCTGAGCTACCAATGTGGCCTTTGGTATCAAGAAGGTAAAAACAGGTCTAATAAGCTAAGCAGAGACTCAAGATACAGAAGTTGCATATACTGATTGTGCTTTTGGTTTCCAAGAAGTCGATGAAATCCTAAATTTGTCAAAGTCCATGGCAAAGCAACCATCCATTCATTCTGAATTTCAACTGTGGCCTTTCTGCGTTGGGTGCCTTTACATTCCATTCATAGATTCCTCATATTTGCACCTGGAAAGTATACTTACTCTGCGGCAGACTACTGAGAAACTATTTTGATTTGGAATTCCAGCAGAATTTTTAAAACATGCCAATAAAATAAGGATTAGCATATCACAAAGGGTATTTACTTAAGATTTTTAAAGGAAGCCGAACATAAAATTGCTAAGAAAATCTGGGCTGCTGCTTAAGTAGGCCTTTTTGCCAGAAAAATGGGGGGCTACAAATAAGATACGATTTTTGAAAGGAGACCAGGGAGATGCAGGGAATCGAGTCCACCAGGGATCTCTTACTGGACCTGTGCTCTCTCACTTTTGTCAGCAATGGTCTGGAAAAAGGAGTGAGGAAAAATAGGTGTGTGTTGACAATACCAAATTCTTCAGGGTAGTGAAAAATTAGCTCTGGACAACAAACACTGCAGAAAATTCTTGCTGGTAGTGTGCAATGCTGATAAAACAGTAGACAAAATTGCAGGTCACTAAATAAAAAGCAATGAATGATTTGGAGGGGGAAGTGATCCTAAGAATGCACAAATACCAGTGTGCTCCAAATTAGGTATTTATTGCAACTGAGGAAGGATATATTGTAATCCTAAGAAATATTTCTGAAACTCCACTGTGGCAAGAAGGCAAATAGAATATTAATAAACTTTAAAAATCAACAGAAAACAAGACAAAGCATCATTTGCAGATGTATAAATCCATACTATGCCTTAAAGTGCTGTATGCAATTTTAATCCCCTTCCTCTGCATCTCAGAAAGGTATTACTGAACTTTGCAGAGAGAAGAGAAATTTGAGCATTAAAATACAGATTTTTAAATTATTATTATTTTTTAAATCTGTGTAAGGACACTAGACTAGACTAGAATTAAATAGATAAAGGTTCTTCGGCTTGGGAAGAGACAAGTGGAGAGGTAGAAGTTATTTAAGTACAGAAAATTAGGAGTTGTTTAATTGGCTGAGTAGGAAAGCTGAACAGACAACAATGGTCAAAGTAAATTGTCAAATGAAGTAATCAGGCAAATTTATAATAAGAAAATAAAATATTTTTAAACAGATTAAATCAATTATCAAAATTCACAATTCATTTCCACAGTATTTTTGGGTTCAAAACATGATGAACAAATTCATCTGTATCCCCTGATGACTATTAAATGTGATAACATAATCTCAGGCTCATTAAACCTCAAAGCCAGCAGTTGCTGGAAGCTGGGAGAATATACTGAGGAAAGTGTGATTCTTTATTTTTGTTTTTAGAATCTTTGCCTAATCATGTGCTACTTTGGATTGCTACAGTTGAGGTATGGACCTAGAAGATGTTATTACTGATAACCATATACATGTGAGTGTACAATTCAGCAGAGCACCCAGTGTATAACTAGTGCCACTAGCAATCTCTGAATCATTTCTGACATTTGTAGAGGATCTGCTGTATTTGATTTTGGTGCCAGTGGCAGCTTAATTACACCTGTCTTCACTATCTAGGTGCTTTAAATGCACAGTCCCAACTCCACCTCTTTCTTCTCAAATAAAACTTTATGATAACATGTAAAAAGTCAAAAGTAGTATACCACAAAATGGCAATTAACCATTCATCCACTGACTGTTTAGACTGGCTGAAATTGTTGAACTTCCTCATGATGTTCAGTAAGTCACCCATACCCCAGTGCTTGGGTTTGAAGTGCTGAACAAAAACATCCACATTACTGCTCTCCAGAAGCAGCAAATCCACTTGTTTTGAATGTTCCAGTCCTGAGACTTTTTCTCTACTTTTTTGTGGGCCTCTAAGGATGGATGAAATGCTCTTTGTTTTCCTCACTTCAGTTTTTAGACAAGATGTAACCATATTTTTTTAAATTTGTTGTCCCAGCTTTCTACTAACCTTGGGCTACTTGAAGACATTTGGTTTTCATCATTCATAGACTGGAGTCACAGTCTGACTCCACGTTCTTAGTACTTTACTACTATTGATGCCTTTTACTACTAGCTGGACGTATTAAGGATTGTGGGTGACAGTGGTTGTGTCTTGAAATATGTGTGTCATACTGACTGCATACAATAACAGCAGCTGAAATAAGAGTTCTGCAACAGAAGAGTTTTATTGTGGAAGAAGAGTTTTGCAATGCAGGAGCCTAAGATGAGCCTCCTTGTTCCTTTGCCAATAGGATTTATAACAACAAAGTGTTTCTTAACAAAAACGACAAACAGAATCATCATGTTAATTCTCTTCTCTGGGTTCAGAGGGCATTATCACCTCATTACAGCTTGACAAGCTACAACATCAATTGAATTGCCATAGATAACCATAAGTATGCTTTTAGCCCATGGCAAATGGAAGGTAATATAACTGAGCTTGATCCTTGATGAAATACTTACTTTATCTTTCACTATGTGAGAAATATTTTGTCCACATATGATTGTAAATTTCTAAAAGTTGCTCACAATAGAGTCACCAGTTGTAACAAGCAGGGTGTCTGTGTGTCTCTCCTTTTTTTCTTCTTTTTTTTTTAATTACCCTTAGAAGTGTAGAAAAGGTCACTGAAAATAGAATAAAAAGCATTTGTGAAATCAGAACAGAAATAGAAGGCTAAGATCATAGCTGGTATGGATACTTCCTCAGATCAGAAGAACATCATGGTAAAGGTGCCCTATTTTAGACAGGATTTGTTTTATATCAGTTACTTGCTGCAATGTGTTACACAAGACTTCCAGAAGCAGAGTCAGATGCAGTGTAGGTGAGTTTTTAATGCTGCCCTTCCCTTTTTATAGCTCTGTCTTGCCAGAACAGAGTATTGTGGTTTCCATTTAATCACCTCTGAAATAATTGTCCAATTACACAATAATACATGGCCAATCTTTCATAAGTTTCACAGGTTTCAAAATAGAGAAGGGAGTGGTGTCGAAGACACCTGCAATTGAGGGCATTGGTGGAGAGGAGAGAAAATGGAAGATATTTGTAGTGGTCAGTAGTAAATGCAGTGTTAAAGGTCCTCCTCTTCAGGTATAGGTTGCATCAGCTGATACTGTGTAAAGTCTAAATGTATCTCCTAATTTGTGGCATATTAGAGAAAAAGATTTGCCTTGAGGTCTGAAGTCTAAGCTTTGATGAGATGAAATGTACTAATCATAATTTTCTGTTCTATATTTTCAGAAGAATGGCATATCAAATGGAACTCTCTACAAAAAAACGTTTATTGAGCACTTTGAACAGGCACCAATGTATGTTGCTGTTCTTACTTTCCTGGGTTTTGGAGTGGGAACAGTATTTGGCTACCTGCGAGATTTTATGAGAGCCTGGGGACTAGAAAAACGTAACATTGCTGCAGAGAGAAAACAACAAAAAGTATGTATAAAAAAGATGCTGTGTATCCAGAGCTGAGTTCTCCCGTGCTTGCAAGTTATGTACAACAACCTACTGAAGTAACAAGACATATAACTTTCATCTTAGAGAGAACATTGCATAAGGATGAGAGGAATGACACACATTGCAGTATAGTTAAGCACATGTATGAATATGTACATATATATATAGGTAAAATCGTGACTTTCACCCAGAGAGATGTTCAGCTTGTTCTAAGACTGTCAGAATACTGTCAGCAAAATACAATCTCAGTGTATTTGGCCAATCCACAGAAAAATAAATCTCAGAAATTACTTATTGAAGCTACTTGTTGTATCTTCTCTCCAAATCTCTAAAGCCCCAATTTTAGTTTGTCCCATCTCGCTGTATTACTTTGTCCTTCATAGTGATAGGGAGTACTAACTTCTGTGTAATTGCTGACTTAGGTTTGCTGAACTGCTGGTCACAAAGCACTCAGGAATCATTTTCCAGCTCAAAGTGAACATAGCCCAAATTCTTATGAGTCCCGACTTAGAGATTTTTTCATCACACATAGTTCCAAGTGAAACTTGCATCTCAGCAAGCCCAATTGCCTTTTAATTTTGTTTATATTTTTTTTTGTTACTCTTCCTTCTCTGTGCAGTTTGAGCCATCATTTACAATAATGCCTGACATAAGGGAGCAAAAGTGCAAATAGTGTTACTGTTCATCTTACAAATAAAATTTCCGAATTTGCTTCCTGTTTTGGCTTTTCAAAGATGCATGCGCTGCTTAATGAAATATCATGGTGCAATTTTTTATCAGCATTCTCATGCAATATTCTTTTCAATTCAATTAATTATTTGGCCATTTGTTGAGCTGTTTTGGCTCCAGACATGCCAGTTAAACCTTTTTGCCATCCACCATGGATTATGTGTTCATTTCATTTTCCAGTCTCCCACATAGGTAACTACATGCCATGTTATTTTATCAGTTTATTGTATCCAGTGTCTAATATGGCTATATTGCTGTTTCATATAAAATTTTGTTTAGATTTCATACCTTTCTTTTCATTTCATTTCCAAGAAAAATCTATAGATACAAATTAATTGTCAGCCAAACTAGTTGTCTGCACTGGCTGTTTGCGTGTCCAGTCTAGGCCAATGATGCCCAGATAAATTGCGTTGAACTAGCTTTAATCTAATGTATGTAGCGTTTCGTGAAATGTAGTGAGTTGTTTATCCTAGTTTTGCAATCTGCTCCATACACTGCAAAATGCTCAATTTGAAGCATTTGGTTTCTCCAAGTGAAAGAATCATGAGCTCCTCCATTTCCAGCTTCCCAAATACTGAACTGGAGAATTAGGCCAACTTGTTGACTGTTGAAAAAAAAGAAAAACCCACACCCTAAAAAAGCCACCACTGTATTTCATGGGAATGAAAGTATGATATTTGCTGATTGGAGTTGTTTGTGACGTAGGAACATGTGGCTGTTATAGGTCTCTGTTTACTAATGAATTAGTTTTTCCTTTTTAATGGGAATCACTTGGGTGTAGAAGCAGACATTTTCCTAGCAATATAACCCTGTGCATATTTTCAAACCAGGATTTTGTGCCACTTTATCAAGATTTTGAGAACTTTTACACCAGAAACCTCTATATGAGAATACGGGATAACTGGAATCGTCCAATTTGCAGTGTCCCAGGGCCACAGTTTGACCTCATGGAACGCGTCACAGATGATTACAACTGGACGTTTAGGTGAGTCAGCTTACACTCTGCAGCTATCAGCTTCATAAGAATACTCCTGATACAACTGCAAAGCACAGAATGTTGCATTTAGCCCCTCATACCTAGATCCTCGACTAATATACATTAGAGTATTTTTTTCTGAAATCAGTACTGTGCTGACAATCTGTCCCTTTTCTTCTGAATATTGTTTGGAAATGCAGTATGGAAGGGACTGAACTCTACTGCAGAAGGGTTTTGTTTGGCTGTGTCAGCATAAATAAGACTGCTCCTGATACAACTGCAAAGCACAGAATGTTGCATTTAGCCCCTCATACCTAGATCCTCGACTAATATACATTAGAGTATTTTTTTCTGAAATCAGTACTGTGCTGACAATCTGTCCCTTTTCTTCTGAATATTGTTTGGAAATGCAGTATGGAAGGGACTGAACTCTACTGCAGAAGGGTTTTGTTTGGCTGTGTCAGGATAAATAAAACTGGTTACGCTTCATTTATAACAACAGACCTTTAGTGAGAAGATTACAACAAAAATTGTATCCCTTGGTCAGGATTTAAATCATAATTTCTTGCATTGCATAAATGTGGCTTCTTACTTGTGTAAGAGAATCTTTGGCGGTGGATTATAAGCAGTTCACAGCTTGTAGATTTCAGTGTATCACAGCTGTTACTGAATTAAACAGATATGGAAATTCACCACATAGACAACATGTACATTCACTATACTTCAGCTTATTAAGAATGTATCACCGTGGTTCCCACAAAATTTTTCCTCATGTTTAATATCTCCACGTGTGTGAACACTGATGACTTTGTGGAAACTGTTGACAATTTGCTGGAAAAAGTAGTGTCTGTAAGTTGTTCCTTAAATAAAGTCCTAGGTTTGTTTGTTTATTTAAATCCATAAAAGCATCCTTTCACCTAATACCAGTCTATTGCCATCCACAGCTTGGCATTTGGAAAACATTCTGAACAAGAAACAGTATTTAGTCACGGGAAGAGAAAGACTGGAAAAACTTTTGGGACGTTAGAGTATGAGGATTGTAAATTCCCAAATAGGAATTTGACAGTGGAACAAAATTTGGTGGGAAATTTTTGGGGTTTTTTCTTTGCTTTTTGTTTGGGGTTGGAGGGAAAGTTGTGCTGTACTTTAAAATTTACTTTAATTGTAGGTTTACAGGAAGGACTATCAAGAATGTAATCAATATGGGTTCTTATAACTACCTCGGCTTTGCAGAAACGGATGTTAATGCTTTGAAAACTGTGACCATAGAGTTACAAAAATATGGGACAGGAATCTGCAGTACCAGACAGGAAATGGGTGAGTAAACAGCTAGATGGCCACCAAAATTTCTGTAACTATACACTTTTACTTACAGATTTCTTCAAGGAATTGAACACTTCGAGAATTTTAGTCACATCAACAATTATTGTTTCATTATTAAAAGTGATGCTGTGTTTTATTATCACATAAGATTTTTTTTAAAAGGAAAAATATTATTTATTTTTGGAAAAGCAAAAAAAATGTGTCATATAATGGCCTGAGATTTTTAATGATGGAAGTAACAGGCTTGTTTTTTAAAAGAAGCAAAATAAACATTGAGAGTTCAAGAATTGTTCTAGGGCAAATTTAATTGCATCACAGTTTTATTATCAGTTGCCATATACAGAGGGTTCTGATTAGTAAAATGAGCTTTTACTGTTTTGTTTGGGGTTTTTTTAATATCATGTTCTAAGAATATATTGTAATGATTTATGAGACATTAATTGGCACAACATAGAAATTTCTAGTGTGCCTCAAAGGAATAAATTCAGTATGGCTCTTTCTGATTTTTTTGTTTATATGTCTTTTGTGATTTGTCTGCTTTTTAGGTTTGCAGGGTGCACGTAGTGTTATCTTCAAATATATATTTTTACACAAAGGCTTACATTCCTAATGGTGCAATCAGCCTACATTTCAGAGAAAACAATTTCAAGCCATAGAAATGCAAGGGGAGGTTTCTCGTCAGGCTTTATCTTTCTTGAGAGCTATCGAAACAAAAGAAAAGGTAGGCTTCCCAGCATGGAGAAGTCTATAAAAGACTTTTTTTTTTTTCCCCTGATCTAGCAACCTGAAAAATTTTCATTTTGTATCTCTCAAAGCAAATTCTTTTCCTCCAGAAATGTTGTGGAAAAAATACTGTATTTCATTTGAGTTTTTTATTTAAAGTCTCCTTTTCAAACAAAAAATAATGCAAACCTTGTCATCCGGTTCTTACCTTGTCATCATGGTTTGACTTGCCAATAAATGTCCGTGACACTACTCAGAGGGGGTTTACAGATTGACCCTACTTTCCTTCTGTAGGTGACCCATCTGATGATTGCAATATATTCTTTAACCTCAATTGCGTGCTTGAAAGTGGTCACTGTTACTAGTCATTGAAGGTATTGAAGTAACATTTCTATGTGTCTTTTTCTCTTGGATTCTGTTTTTTCTGAGAACATTTTAAGTTGTTTTCAGTATGTCAAAGAATATGCCTGGTGTTCCTCATTATTCATCTTTTGCAGAATTTTTTATGCGGAAGACTTATATAACTGACTTGTTAAATAAATCTTACGAAAATATTGATTCTGACTTCAAATGTTAAAAATCTTATTAACTTCATCTAGTCTGCTTTGAGAGCAAATATATACAGGTTTCTAGGACCTTCTCTTCATCTGAACTCCTGTGCAGTACTCAAAGTTATCTTGACAGATTGAACAAAGTTTTAGATTCATTCTAACTTCTTTCACAACAAATAATCCCATGAACTTCATTCAGACTATTCACAACACAAGAATGGGCTACAAGTAAAGAACATTGTACAAGTCTTGTCAGTATCAGTCTTTCAGGGACTGAATTTCAGAGAGCAGCTTGGACGTCAAAACTTACTAAAATAGGAAAGCAGGGTGTTAAGACCTGGTTTAGATGGCATAGATGAGCAGTCATAGCATTTTGTCCTAGGCAGCTAATGGAGAGCTTGTTCTTGTGTAGTTAGTGGAGAGAGAGGTTGCTCCACAGAGCAATTCTGAGCAGTGGTTACTTCGTTGGCCCTGGCTCTGTTGGAGCCTTTCTACTGCCAAGAGCTGTATAAACAATCTAAGGAAAATAGCTTTTTGTTAGTAGTATGGATACCCTCTTTTATTTTTCCTTTACCCTCTTGTGCTGCTTGAGCTCTATTCTGGCTCACAGTTGAGCAGAAGTGAAAAATTCTATCTGAGTTTAATGTATAAACAAGTACACTTCCAAGAGAGAGGTAGGGAAGGGTCTGTATGAAAGATCTTACCTTTCTTAATTACAATTTGCCATCTTTATCTTAGAAAAAATAGAGCAGAATGGTTTTGTTCCTGGGCAGATAACAATTCAAAACATTTGTTGTTATTGTGTGGCTGCTGAGCTAAAGTGGTTTGAAGTAAAAATGCAGTAAGCTGTAGGAGCCAAGGTTATAAATTGCCTATGAGGTCCTAATCCAAGAGAGCACTTGAACATATCTATAATTTCAAGCCAATTGACTTTGAAAGTATCGTTCTGCTTACATGCATTTAAGCGTCTGGCATGTTCAGGGTTTTACCAAGATCTCTCTCAAAACAGTGATAGGTCTTTCTTTTTGAGAATGGTTATTCCACTACTTTGAGAATGTTTCAGAGAGAGGGGGAAACAAAGAAGAAACAAATAAAAATAATGTGAGTGGTGTTGTATCATCACGTATTCTTTCAAACTGTCCTTTGTGGTCTTCTGCCTAAACTTCTGCTCTGATAAATATGCAGACTTTCTAGTGGGTATAGAATGCTGTCATATCAGAATGTTGCTGCAAATCGTTTGCTCTCAGAACGAGTTAATATGGATGTTTTAACATGGTTGTTTATATCTTTACAAAACTGTCTTTTATTAAGGACACTTAGTGAAGCTAAACCTTGCTAAATGTAAAACAGCTCTACGTTCCCAGAAAAGTAATTTAAGACTGTGTGTAAACATATTTCAGAAATTAACTTCAGTGAGAACCGTGAAGCCCTGCTCATGTTTTCTCTAAGATAATAATGCACGTGCCACTTGAATAGACATTCCTGTTTAAGCACAAAAGCATAGGAAACTGATCAAAACAGTAGCTGGTCTTCCTAGATAAAAAGTCCTCCATAAAAAGATTAAAGACTTTTCACTCCATTTTTAATTTTTTTGCTCTTTTTGAATTATAATAATAATAAATCACTTTCTTAGCATAACAGTGTCATTTAAGAGACATTCCTAAGGCTTTTGTGGGACTTTCAATCTGAAAGAAAAATATTTTCCTTCTTTAAGACCAAGCTAACTATTATTCCTTGGGAGAAAGATCTTGGGGTTATATGTAGTAGCTCTGTGAAAACATTAACTTATTGTTCAGTGGTCAGAAAGCAAATAAAATACTAGAAATTATTAGGAAGTGAACAGAAAGCCAACCACAGAACCTCAGTATGCTACTGCATAGAGCTGTGGTTTGCTGTCATCTTGAGTAGTCTGTGCAGTTCTGGTCAAAAATATTTAGCAGAACTGGAAAGTGTCAGAAAAGGGCAACAAGGATCATCAAAGGCCTCAGACAGCTTCTGGGTGAAGAACTGTTGAGCTGGCTGTCTTAAGCTGTCAAAAATGCCTGTCTTATGGCTTGAAAAGAGCCTAAAGGGGGAAATTATAGAAATCTGCAAAATTATGTGTGGCATGGAAGGGTGGTCAGGGTTGGCGATTCATTGTCTCTTCCACTACGATATCTAAGGGGCATTGTATGAAGTTGGTAGAAGGTTTCCATCTAAATACGAGGCAGCTCTTCACACTGGAGGCTTCCAGACCTGAGGAACTGATTGCAAAGAAGGCTGCAGATGCTAAAAATTTACACTCCCTTGCATTCTAGGGGACACTGGCAACATACAGAGGAGAGATCATGGATAGACATACCGAAACTATTATCTGATTCAGGATGTCCTTATGCTGAAATAGGTTAGAAGCTGGGATACTACTATGTATATGTTTGCCCTGCTTTGATTCTTCCCCCGACATCGATACAAGACCACAGTGAGATGAAGGATTATGAGCAAAAGGCACCTTTTGTGTGGCATGGTGCATCTAATACTAGTTGTTTAGCAATATTTGATGTAATAAGTTGTTGAGTATTATTTTATATTATTACTTACATACCTACAGCCATTGCTGTACAATCATTAATACTGGACCAGTGGACTAGCAAATCATGATACAAATGTGGCTTGAATCAGGAACACGCACATACTTATGGTTCTGTATAACTGGGCAGTACTTTCAATAGAGGTAGCATATAAAGGAATAATGAAGCAGTAACCTGGCTGTTTTCAGTGTTTCTGAGGACAGTAAGGTTAAAAAGACATTGAGGGAAGACACTTAAAAGAGATCAACACTTAAGAATTGCACATATGCTTGGGGCATGTCTTCTAACAGCAGTACCTTGGGTGGACATGTGAAAGTGGTTATTTGCAGGCAGTAGGAGAAAGCAAAAAATGCTGATACCACGGTCTGCTTAGAGGCAAAAGACTTTTCAGTTCTGTGTGGTACATGGGATTGAAGTAGTCCCTGAGGGATCATGACAGCAAAAATTTGAGCATTTCAGAGCAGCTGGAGATGTAGAATGGGGACCTTCTTGGACAGAGGAACAGGCTGGGAGGAATAATAGGACCATTCACCTAGAATGTTAAGAGCATTCTCAGTGCATCATTCTCAGCGCATCTGAGAATGACAAGGTTAAACTTACCGAAGCCAGAGGAAAAGACGCTGCATAATCTGTGTGAGGTGTCAAGGGAAGATACAAAGAGATCTGCAACTACTGTATCTGATAAAACTGACCATGGGTGTAATTTAAACTAAAACAGCTTTTGTCAGCAGCAGTCTCTCCTGCAGGTGCATAAAAAGTCTTTTTTTATTATTATTTCTTTGGCTAGTTCATTGTAAGTCAAGAAACCAATCAGGAAATGAAAAAGCGGGAATTTTTTTTTTCCAGGAATAAACATTCGGTCCGAGACAATAATTCTTAAATGTTGAAGGATTTAAGTAACTGGAAACCAGGTATGCAAGTAACTGGAGTATTTGGAACGTTAGGGTATTTCATGTGAACTACACCCAAGGATCTCTGTTCTTTGTTGTATTTATGTTTTATTTATTTTAATCTTCCTCTCAAAAGTGTTATTTTTTTAGCCTAATAAAAAAGCTAACAAATAGGAATCTATATAAATTTGAAATAGCATGTGTTCCCTCTATATAGTGAAAAGAATGACAATTTGAATGTGAAGTCCTTTTTTCCCCATGCA